ATATTCCTCAAGTATCTGTTTACAATGCCAGTAAACTTCTTTACTAATGTCCAGTTTAATAAAACAGTAAAAGAACGCCTTTTCGGATATATGGATGACATTTATTCACAAGTATTCGGTTGTGAAACAAAACTTTCAAGGTCCTCCGAACTCATCACCACGCAATACATAATAGATCTTCATACGTTTATGAATAAAACAGGTAGAATTTATCGTATGATAAACTTAATGCCTTCCAATGATAACCTAAAAAGGTACGGTATTTATAAAAGTAATTTGAGTATTTATATGTTTTATTACATAACGGCTCACTTTTATTTTCCATGGCGTTGTAGTATAGATTTTGATGTCATACAGTCGTTTAACAGATTCTCAGACAAATTTTTGGGAGGTACAAGCTATTGAATTCTGATATAAACTGTCGTACTTGTTTTTGTTTATGTAAGCAATGTTTGATATTGTATTGTTTTAATTTTTTAATTTATTTTAAAACTTTATTATCTATTATTTCACCACATCTTGAAGTTAATCGAAATAATTAAAATTAATCTTTTAATTTGACTTTCAAATGTCGATATTTTCTTGGACTATTAGGTTCATACGAAAATATATTATACATTATTACAGCATTTAAATCAGTTATTTTTCTAGTTAAAGACGTATTATTAAATAATATTTATTTCATAGTATTATTATTACTATACACAAATATTTACACTCTTTTAGCGATTTTCTAGATATATTTCAGAGACAAGTTAGTAACCTCTGATGAAAACTGTCATTTAGCATCGTTTAATCTTGCAAAGTGTTAAAATGTTAAATTTTAAATTTATTTCAAAATGTATTGATTGTATAAATTCAATGTATTTTATAGTTCAATGTAACAACTAAAAATATGTTAATAAGTGTCTTTGAAATATAAAAACTATTATGCATTTTTAGTTTTAAACTATTTACCAATATCCTTTCTTTATCTGCCTATCTGCCACATTTATTATGTATTCTACTGGAGCGTATCTACTATCGAAAAAGTAGTCTGACGAATAGCAAGTTATTCAGACCAAATTAACAAATTTATATAGTTAGTTCGAGTAGTCCGAGGGACGATACTTACAACTTAATATTTTTTAACTTTGCTGGTTTATACTGTACTTGGTTTGGACTGTACTGGCTTGAAAATACTAACTACCGATTTGCATCGAAGCGTTTTTTCGAAAGTGATTTTATCACTTTCAGATTTAAAAATGCCTGTAAACCTGTGACCTCCCCGTCCTCACTATGCCCCGACCCCACTGTACTGGTTTTTTTTTCTTTAAACGGTAAAGAAATCAGGTCGGTTATTTGTTTTGTGCTGCTGTCTGAAAGCAAGATGTACAAAACTTTGTATTGTGATTTGTAAAATTACATGACCGCTGAGCATAAATTAAGGTCTGAAAATTGTACTAAAATTGGGTCTAATAAGCTAGGCTTGCTATTTATATATAGGACAAAAACAAAGATAAAATGAACCCTTTTAAACTTCTAAAAACTTTAAGAAACTGTTTATAATAAATCGTAAACATACAGTACGGTTAAGCAATATTATAATAATAAAACTAACTAACACAGCAATAACTGACTTTAAAGTACTGACAATAATACATAAGAAGAACTTGTATACTATTATACAAATTAGTGAATTGACGTAAACGGATAAACAAGAACACGTAGTGATGACAAAGTAGTTAATCAAAGGAAACTGCGTATCGGGAAATAGATAACCTAAATAAAAATATCAAATATATACAAATGACGTCAGAAAATAAAGAATGACACCACGCAAAAATACACTAATTTAATAAACATATAATATAAAACAATAAAATGAACAACAAATAAATATGTAATTAATAAATCATACTGGTCGATAACAAGTCTTAGAAAAATATAGCGTGTATAGGAAGGGAAATTGTTTTCTGTTATGATTGTAGCATTGCAAACTAATGAAAATACAAGCTGTTACTTATAAACAATTTTATTTTGTTGTTTGTGATTTAAAATGTATAAATTCAATGTAGAACCCTGTTGTTATAATACTCGTAACGAATGCCGGTTTTGTACAGTTACTTAAGTATATGACTCATCTCTATGCAATAAATGTTTTAAAATTATAGCTAAGTTATCAGTATTTTTTTTAAAACCATTTATATAGTAAATTGTAACTTGAATCTGCATACTTTAATAAAAGTTGTAATCCAATATTATATTATTCTTTTTTTTATCAAAACCAAGCTGTTATTCACAGCGACTGTTGTAATGTAAACAAATGGTTCCCATATGTATCACAAATTTTGAGTATTATTAGAACCTTCGTATTTTACAAAACAATTTGTGCGGTTTTATTATTTTTTTTTTTATCGAAAACCAGTTGTTTTTCTTAACATATTTTGTTTTGCAGTGGCTTTTGTACTTTAATGATTTACCTATTTTATTTATTTTATAATATTTTACAATATTTTCCCACAATTTGTATGGTTTTAAATTGCATGGTTATTTTTCAACATAAAAACATTTTTCTAGCAAAGTTAACAAGTCGTTTTTTACTCGATTTTTATCGACTGTTGCGATGTAAATAAATTACAACACCTCACAATACAAGATCGTATACTTGTAACTTTTTATGATTTAAGATTATAATTTACATAGTTTTGACTCTAAAAGAGCAAAAAAAAATTATAACGATTACTCTACGTTTGGCTACAATTCCTATTAAACACATGATAACACTTAAGGACAAAAAACCTTAATCTACTACAATCTATTAAACTCCAATTGAGTTTACGTATTCAAAATTATATTATATATGTTATTATGGACCATAGTAATGGTGTTTCATTCCTAAATTTGTATAGCTTTATGCAAAACTTAATTAATTGTCTACATGATAGTCAAACACTTGATATAAACAGCCACAGCGAATGTAATTGGAACTGTGATAATTTAGAATTTGTTGTTTGTATTTTTGACTACATCATGAAATATAATATTAAATAATTTATCTAATGCAGCGTGTTAAGGGTAGAGGCAACACCTTTATAAATCGTATATTAAAAGTAAGTACTTTACCGAATGTTTGTGTATTTTACTGTGAAAAAGTAACACAAAAAAAAATAAAAACGATTACTCTAAAATGTGGATCTCATACATTAGGTTCTTAAACTGAGCCAAAAAAACATAATGTAATGTAAAAAAGGGTTAATGGTATTTTCTGGTTTCAGACTGTTTACATCGGTATTTAGAACTGTTGTAATTTTTTTTCATAGCATTATTGCACGCTGTATACAAAATTTTAAAAAATAGTAACACGGCAATATCAATAAATTTATTTATTTCGGCCATTGACTAGTCTTTAATAATCATTCATAGCCTTTTATAATACTGATTAAATCGTATATTTTTTCGTCGAACGATATCAAACTAAAATAAATTACATTTTAGACATTAACTAGTCTTTGTTAATCATTCCTAGTCCTTAGAATAATGATTTAATTGTATGTTTTGAATCTAACGGTAACAGAGTAAACTATACATTTTACAGCACTAGTACTTGAAAAACTTAACATGATTCATAATATGTTATTCATTTGATGGGACACTTAAATAAATAAGTTGCTTAAAAAAAGGTATAGTTTAGCTATATTAAACTAGGTTATAGAACCAAAAACAATAATTTTTGTGGTTTTTTTACACGTTTTTTATTTGCAACATTAATACACAAAATATACTTTTTTGGCCAAATATTTTCGCAAACAATGAACACATACCGCATACACAACAATAATACATTAACAATGAACAATGTACACTCCCTCCACTTAACAAATGAGACAAACAATTTTGTGTAGCACGTATCTCTGTATATAATGTAAGAAAATGTACTGTTTCTCTAGTATAATATTGGACATCTCTGGAGTTTGACTTAAGCTTAAAATCCAAAAGTTCATATTTAATTTTGCATTTCAAAATTCATACATTTTAAGATACTATTAGAGTATAATTTCTAAAAAAATATGAATTTTAAAAATATTATTAGGATTGTAATATCCATATTTTTCATTATAATGTCAACGTATACAGGTACATAAAAAAATAATAACCATACAAATATAAAATAAAAAGTTATACAAATCTATTTTTCATGTTTTAGGTGTTGATGGAGGTAAGTTTAAAATTAAATTGCTCTATTTTTATTTATTAATCTGATATCAATTTTTTTTTTGTTTTTCGATAAAGTGTAATAGTAGTTTCAAATGACTTAACCTACCTTCAAAATAATATTTAAGTAGGCAATTTCTAACACATATTACCTAAATAGGAAGCTGAAAATGACAAATTTAGGAATGTTTGTTAGGTACTGTTAATAAATAAATAAATACAACACTTTTTTTTGTGTTTCCGCTGATAAAAATGACTGTAGTCATAAATAAAATTATATGTTTTTAGCAATGTTATTTTTAAAATATTACTTGTGGCTAAGATAAAAATAAAAGCTTTTGGATCAAACTTAAAATATGAAATTTATACATGATGCATCAGGATAGAAAAATATATTTCATTTCATTTTCGATATTTCAGATCCTCCGCAAGTTCCTCCAAAACCTCCTAGTAAGTCTTTGATACTTTGCTATAATTTATATATGTTTAATAAGTGAAATTAAATATGGATTTTTATTTTTCGCTTTTCAAATGACTGTAAGCTGAAAGTTAATATGAGGTTTTGTGCTTTACCAATATACTAGAAGTTTTAAAATGATTCCCAATAAAGCTTAAAATGTGTATAAAATGCTACAAATGCCTTACATTGTTGAAAATAAAAATAAGTTTTCCATGTTGATGAGCAGAATATATAAATCTGCTTATCTAGATATAATGTTAATTTAAAAATATTACTGGTGGCTAAAATAAAATTATTCATTTTTGGATCTAAATTAAAATATGTAATTTATCATTCAATATTTCAGCTGAACCAAATACTCCTAGTAAGTCTTTGATACTTTGCTATAATTTATATATGTTCAATAATAATATTAAATATAGATTTTTATTTTTCGTTTTTCAAATGATTGTAAGCTGAAAGTTAATATGAGCTTTGTGCTTACTAATATACTAGAAGTTTTAAAATGATTTCCAATAAAACTTAAAATGTGTATAAAATGCTACAAATGCCTTACATTGTTGAAAATAAAAATAAGTTTTCCATGTTAGTGAGCATAATATATAAATCTGTTTATCTAGAAATAATGTTATTTTAAAAATATTACTTGTGGCTAAAATAAAATTAATCGCTTTTGGAACAAAATTAAAATATGTCATTTATCATTCAATATTTTAGGTCACCCGATATTTCATAGTAAGTCTTTGATACTTAAAATAACAATAAATTAGACAAAATAAGTATTTCGGTTCTTATTCAAAGTTACAGGACAGTCAGGCGACAGATTTACTGACGCCCGCTAACGACAACTGTTTTTACCAAATAAGCTGCAATATCCAAGATCCCTGTCACATTCGGAAAAAAAAATTGCTTACTAATTTGTATAAATTTAAAAATGTATTTCTTTGTTAATCATTATTGTCTTTGAACCATTATAATATTCAAATAACAATGTATTCCAAATATCATATTTTGTTAACTATCAATTATATTATATGTCCATTACATAACTATCTACCAGTAAAAATAGTATTCACCGGATAAAAAAATGTATTATTTAATTATCTAATCAAATCCAGCTATTTGTTTTTGCTTCTGATTCCTTCTCTTACTATCAATACTTTGTTATAAAATGTCTATGGAAATGCGGTAAGCCGTGTCAATTGTTTAAATTTATATGTTATGACAAATATAAACATATAATTGATTTTGATTAGATACTATATCTTTACTCCATAGAAAATGTTGTTTTTGGCATTCAAAGCCTAGACATCTAATGTGTGTGTGAGTGGTTTTCCCAAATGTCTCAAACATGTTTTATTACAATTTACTTAATTTAAAACAAATACCATAATATAGTGTTGGAGTTGGCTGTGAAATTCCTTCTTATATTTATTTTATTTTAAATTGATATACAATACTACATCGAAATTCTAATTTGGTAGTTATCGTGGATACAGATACAAAACAAATAAATAAAAAAAAGTAGATCATTGTAAAATGAACACCTATCTTTTACGTTCTGCATCAAAGCTAAAAACCTAATAATAATATGTTTTTATGATTCATAACATAATATTTACAAAAAATACCAAATGATAAACATTTTTAAGTTTGTTTATAAACTAAACACATTTTTCTCGAGTTGATCTTTTATGTTGAAAAAAATATTACTCTTATAAAACCGTAATAAACATAGTTTCGAAGCATAACATAAATAATACAACCATACCGAATACGTTTTAAAAAACCACTTGTTTTCGGTAAATAATATTCGTACACCATGTTAGGTATGTTTTTTTATTTGAAGATTTTGAGTGTTCGCACTTCATAGCAACATATAATAAGAACTTTATTATATTATAAAAAGATTTTAGGAAATGATAAGGAAAAATTATTAAAATCCATACCATGTGTAATAATTCCATTTTCTTTGAAATGTTAAACTAAGGGGATTGATTTTCAATTTTCATTTTAAAAATGCAGTTTCTTTTAATTAAATAAATACAATTTAACAAGTCGTTATTATTAAAAACAATGTTTTTACGTAAAAAATTAAAAATCCGTTTCTGACATATTCTAGTAGCCAAAGAACTCATATCTCTTCGCGGAATTAAAATCGGACCACCCTAAGTAGTCGAAATTTTTTTGGACTTTTTGGTATAAATTGTCAAAAAACAAACCCCATTCAATTCCCATAACTGGATACCTAATGACTTAAACATTTGATGAGGTTATTCTTTAGACTTGGCAATGCGGGTCTAAACCTATAGACTACATCTGTTGTGTCACAAAAAAATAAGTACAAAAAATATAAAAATCTGTAAATAAACATTTTTCATTAAACTAAATTTTTCTCTCACTAAAATGGTAATAATTCATGAATGCACAATTAACTATTACAACTACAGTTACGTCGTTTTTCTACCTATATCTATATAAAAATTATTTTAATGTAAACTGGGTTTCGACCAAAAGTAAAACTATAGACTTTTTTTGTAAAATATAACACTGTTTAATGTGTTAGATTTTAAAGATTTTTCATTCGTTTACATTGCTTCAGTAAATAGAATTGACAACAAGTTGATCACGTTTAAGTGATTTTGTATTATTTGGCTGGCTACACTATGGTCTTGATTAGAATAAACCAGTTTTAGAACCATATTTGTTGTTTGTGTTGTTGATAAAAGCTCTGATATTAGATGCTATATATTAATCTGTGTGTAAGTTTAAATGTTACAGCAATAATCGTATATGTATCAATAAACCCGATTTAGATTATTAGCTGATAATCATTTAATCACTTGAGACCTTTTTTAATTATTTGGAAATTTTTATTTAATGTAATTTTAAAAAAATGATGTAATTTCAAATTTAAATATTATTAGTCCCTTGACTTTAAGAACTAAACGTAATTACAAATTGGTTTTTGTTTCAAAATTATTATTTTAGTGTGTTCAATGATTTGTATTTACATCGACAGTTTTATAATAACAAAACTGAATATTTTTTAATTATTTTCATAAATTATTTTAAAGTACTATTATATTTTATAGTTTTGTCTATCTGCTAAATTATCTCAACAATTTTGTTTTATATCGTTGTTAAGTATTTCAATACACGACGATTTCACAAATCGGGCTTTAAGTTTTGAAATTCTTGTATTAATGTTTACATTTTATAGTATAACCGTATCGAATACGTACAAGAATTTTTTTTTTATAATACATAAGGTGTTCAAAAAATTGATTCTGAACTTGTTATTATAATAAGGCCACAGCAGATGTTCTTTAAATATTTATTTTCAGACTTTAGGCATGACGTACTACTAACATATACTTAAAACACGTGTAAAAAAATGTCTGTAATCAACATTTTTTGTTATAAAAAATTACCAATAATTGTCAACATTGTTTTTACAATTTTCAGCAATCCTCAGCATATTATTAAAAATACTTTTTCACCAATAATTTTTAGGAAAACACATAACAATTTAATGTGTATATAAATATTCAATAATCAATGAAGCTCTAAAACGGGTGTTATCTGTAAGTAAATCGGAATGTTTTGTCACTTGGCAGACATTTTTTTTTATAAACTCCTGACAGACCAAAGAAAACAAAGCCAATACAGTAGCGTTGGGGTATAGTGGGGATGGAGCATTATGGAGACGATGACGTCTTCAAGTTTCACTATATCTCCAAGTATTAAAATCACTTTCGAATAATCTCTTTGATGCGAATCTTTATAAAGTTCAAACCAGTACAGTCTAAACCAAGCGCAATTCAAACCAATATAGTAGAAACGTGCTATTGTGATGTCCAGAGTCTACAAATTTGCATCAAACCGTTTATTTGAAAATGATTTTATCACTTTCTGCTATAATAGTTTTTGTACACCTATGACCTACCCGTCCCCACTGTGTCCCGTCTGGCTTTTTTATGTTCTAGGTGTGAACTATAAAAACACGTTTTGTTTTTTTTTCATATTAGTCTATCGTTTAATTTAAAAGGGATATTAATTAAAAGTAAACTATTCAATTTGTATTTTACTCGTTGTAATTTTTTTATAAAAGCATGGCGTTCGGATGATGTCAACAATACAAAAAAAAACTCTAATTTTTTCGTTTCTCACATCTGGTAACCGTAATAAACTTAAAAAAAAATTAAATTAAAGCCTAAAGCTGGTAAATACAGGGTGATCCACATATTGTTAACCATTTAATATATCATAGGGTTTAATAAAAAAAATGTTTTTCATATTGTTTTTATACAATGTGATCTCAATTTTTCAATTTTTTTTTGTATTTACCCCCTCCCAATTTAGATTTTTTGATAGTTACTTTTGAAACTTAAATATTAACATATATATTTGAATACTTTTTTAAGTAGAGAACAAAGTATTACAAATTTTGACTGGTCGATAACCTGTTTCGGATACCTATTTTTGAAGTTATAAGAGTTTAAAAGTTAGGATGGGAGGAGAATAGTATTATTTTAAATTAAGCCCAGTGAGATATTGACTGGTTCATGATAAAAGAATCACCCTATATTTTGTCTTTTTTAATCTACAACAAATCTACACAACTTTGGCATATTAGGTACACAAGCTAATAATTTATTTTTTCCTACACATAGAAGTAGTGTAATGCAAATCGATTGTTTTGCTAAACATTTTAAGAAGTTAAAATGATTTTATTGCATGTAAAATATAGCTTATAAGTGTGTAGTGCCACCACATATTATTATGGAATGTCTGGGAACTTCGTGACGGATAGGCCATATAAAACACACACGTGCGCGAAGGTTCGAACACATTCCATAATATGTGGCGGCACTACAAGTCATAATGTGCACTATTCTTGACAAATACCAATTTTCCAATAATAAGTTTTTTACGGTCACCAAAGAAACTGCTTTACGTTTACAGGCGGAATGAATAACTTTTCATAGCAACCAAACGGCCCAACGCCATTTTGAGATATACAGAGTGATCATTTTAACGCAGGACAATCAATATCGCTTAAGCTAGTTGCAGTTTTCCTTTAAAAAAAAAAAATGTATTGTTGTTGTGATTATACAATATTATGAAGTTACTAAATATTTAACTTTCTTAGGATTAATTTAAAATAAAATACAGAATTGAAAGAGAAAGGGATGCTTTTATTAAAATGTTGAAAGTATTCAAGTATCGCGATTTGTCTATTGGTACAAAAATCCGACTGTTAAAGTGTAATGTGTTCTCTGTATTACTGTATGGAGTCGAAACCTGGACACTAACAGAGTTAACGTGTAAGAAAATTGAAGCTTTTGAGATGTGGTTATATAGGCGAATACTAAAAATCAAAGTGTACTGAAAAGGATGGGAAAATAGAAGGGACTTTTAACAACAATAACAGACCGGAAGGTAGCATACATGGGATATATCATGAGGAATAATCAACGATACAAAATACTCCATCTTACATTACAAGAAAAAATCGAAGAAAAAATAAGTGAGGGAAGAAGACGAATATCTTGGCTGAAGAATCTCCGCGACTGGCGTAATAAAACATCAATTGATCTATTTCGAGTATCACTTGACAGGGACAACATTGTCAATATGATATCCAACGCCCAAAACGGACAGGAACTTGAAGAAGAAGACGGATTAACCGAAGCTCTATAACTTTTGACACTTAAACTGTAACGTACATACAGCGTGATCAGGGTGTACAGAACTCTTTATCCAGAGGCCCACGTTTGGGGTTTTCAGTTGATTCTGTATAAAGCTATATTTTGTATTCTGAATTTTTGTTGTACGTTAAAACATTATAACGAACGACAAAGTGTGCAAACAGCCGCAAGTTTATAATATTTTTTTATGCGTTTCATTTACCTAATTAAATTTGTATCAATATAAAATATAAAATAGTAATATTAATACACATAAAAATATTTAACAGTAGTTTATCTACTCAGTTTTTTCGTGTTATTTTTTTTGTTTTTAGTGTCTTATTTTTCTTAGTTTCGTATCGTTGTAAATAACAAAATATGAGTAAAATCCCACTTAGCAACACATCTTTAAATCAATACACGATCATACAAACAATTTTACAAATGTTAAATAAATGATTCAATGTACGAGTGGTGCATTCTTTAATAATTAAGTTAATACAAAAATAATTTGACTATAGGTAATAATATATTAAATGTAGAATATTAGGATTTATATTTTACTTATGTGTTAAATTTTTATTAGTGTACGATAACTTTTGTAAATCGAAAGCATTACAGATGAAAAATATTTTGTCCTTCTATCAAACATAATCATTATTAAGATAACACGATAATAATATGAATATTGATGATGTATAAGTATGGTTCGAAGACACATATTTTTGCGTCTCGGTATGGCTAGATAATTTGTTTTTAATATTGTTATTTTTATAACTTCGTAAAGGCAAAATAATTTAACTAGGTCGATTTAAAAGTTGCTGTTTTGTTTTTTTGTGTATATATCTTAGTAGGACATTGGTGTGTACCTAACAAGTCACTAGCAAGCATACAAAATAACACATTCAAATATTATGTAGATATGTATAATTCTTATTTCAATAAATAACACGACCTAAAACGGGTTTTCAGAACGTATTATTTAGAAAAGTAATAATAATGATAAAACCATATAATATTTTCAAAAGGTTTTAAATGAATATAAAAAATAAAATAATAAACACTGACGTCCGGGGCTGGGTTGGACAAATCTTTGTGGTTCACCCTGTATAAGCATATATTTTATTTTAAAATGTAACAACTCATAGCTACGTATTTTTCGTTTTATTTCATAAATTTAAAAAAAAAGAAAATTAAGTGAATAATTTTCTGGTACAAACATTAAGAGGGCGTCGCACAGCCCATTTTTAAGGAATAAGTATAGGCAATTTTTTACAAAATCTTAATTTAAAGGTTAAACTGTGATGTGTAATTTTTAGTTCAATAACTAGGACTCTATTTTATTAGTTAATTTATTTGTTGGGCTATCACAGCATCCTTGAAAGCTAATTAAAAATATTTTTTCATCTCTACATGTTTAAACAGACTGAAAATAACTCGCTTAATTTTGGTTTTAGAGTAAGAGCACCTATTATAAAATTAAAAGAAAACAATATTTTGGAGGGCAAAACGGTGCGTTTATTTCATTATTCCAAGTATAACGCTCAATACATAGTTAGAAATAATGACTATTTTAACATTTTTAAATGACTGAAACTTTTCAAAAAATAAAATTTACTCAAAATTTACTTAAATAAATTGAGTTCTTTTACTCTAAAACTAAAATCAAGCGAGTTATTTTCAGTTGGCGTAAATATGTTTTTACCACTGAATGTCACCGGTGCGACGCCCTCTTAATATATAATTGTTAAATTGAATTTGTACATCACCGATTATTATAGTTACCAGTTATTACTAGTTTTGAATAACTATTTTTTAAGTTATTGAGGTTTCCAGTTTAGGGCAGGAGAAAAGGTGAAGTGTGGTACAAATTATATCTGCGCGCATTTCCCAACTGCACGACCCCTCCCATCTTAAATTTAAACTCTTATAACTTTAAAAATAGTTGTCCAAAACTGTTTATCAACCAGTCAAAATGTTTAATACATTTTTCTAACTTAAATAAGTTAATGAAATAAATGCGTTACCATTTAAGTTTCAAAAGTTGTTATCCAAATAACTAAGATGGTAGGGGTCAAAACCCCCCCAAAAAGGAGAAAATTTATTGTTTAAAAGCAAATTGAAAAAAAAAATGTAAGTTACTTTTTCAACCATAAAAGATATTGAGTGGCCCATGATAAAAAAGTCACTCTGTATAACCTACCTTTTCATTTTTGTATAATTATATTTCTAGTAAAACCTACTTTTCTATAATTTGACGATAAACTTAGAATGCATTTAAAATCTATTTTTAACGTCTCGGCTTTTTTAGCTACACCTCAGGGCTCTATTCCAATCACGAGAAAACTTTCCAATGGATTATCATTTTCGGTTAGTTTTTTTTTCTCCTTCATATAATATTATACAGAAAAAGCCGTTTAGTACACATCATATGTGGTAGTCGCCTGCCAAGTATTTTTATAAGGAATAGATGTGTTATGTACATAATTTTAAATAATAACTTAATCAAACGTTTTGTATAATACATTATGTTAAAATATACCTCCAATAAGTAACCCCAATCCGGGCCTCCAAAATGGTAGTTGCGGCACTATACATTAACATTTTCTTATAAGGCGGTTGTGTAAACAAGTAATACACTATTTGGATCAAACCGCAAAACAACTAGTGTTTTTATGATTCATCGTAGGCCGAGCCACGATTATTTATTTTAAAACTGTAAATTGTAAATCTTTGTGAAAATCTGAACTAAAATAGGCGATTCAGTTTTTCATACATATTTTGTAGGCTAATGTTTGTTTTTGTTGTTTTTTTATTCTGGTAACACCAGTAAAATACCAAACTACTGTTCAATGATATTATGATTAAATAATGCTTCATTCGTTTTGAAATATATTTAAAAAACAAATTTTTAACTACAGGTAAAATAAAATCAAACATTTCTAAATTGGGTAAGAATGCCGGTGTAACCATATGAAAAAAACCTAATACGATTAATTAAACGTTCAAAATAATAATACAATTATGGAATGGATTTGAAAAATAAAAACATTTTTCTATAAAACATTTAGTTTGCAAAAAGCTAAAAAAACATGTTGTTATATGACGTTTGTGTAAATAGGTTTTTGGTACAATTTTTGTGCTTGCCAAATGGCAAAACAACTTCTGTTCTTTTGTTATAGTTTTAAATTTTCAACCTATTTTGAACAAACAAAATACATACGCGTTTATTAAATTTTACACTGAAATCGCTAAAACAGCAGCCATTAAAACGAATAAGAATCATTTAAGTTTTAAGCTCGTGTATACCACTATTCAATTGACTTACGCATTATAAAAATATCATAATGAATATTACATTTTTTATTATTTTTTCATACATGTTTCTATATTTTTGTTCTGCAGTATTTGTAAATCTTTCTGATGCGGTAATTTTAAATTTGTTACTACCCAAATATATCTCATGAAAAAAAAAATCAAGTTTATTTAATAAACCTAAATTGAGACAAAATTATTTGTATAATAGTAGTATTCACATTGTGTATTAAAAAAATAATATTATCTGGTTTTACGTTGTTATCAATAACTTGAACAAAATATTTGTTAGCAAATTTTATCTAAATACATAATAAATAAAAAAAAATAATAATAATTAAATACTCTATAAGCCTAGTGAATAATATACAGGGAAGTAGTAAAAATTTAAGTCACATTATTTCTGTAATAATGGTAATGACATTGTGTATTCAAAAAAAAATGTAATGATTTTAGCAAATGGACGAAATTTTTGATGGCACCCGTGAATATTTGGTTAGAAAAATGCAAGATCTTTCAGAAAGCGACGTTGAAAATGTTTACAAGTCTGACATAGTGGCTTACCTAACAGGACATTTACATGATGACAAACTAGGTTACATAGACCCTGTAAGAATAGATGATTTAACAGAACGTTTGCCGTCGGGTACGATAAATGATATTAATTAATTCATTAAAAAATATTGTAAAATATATTAGTGAAATTTGAATAACTAATAATCACTTGGATATTTTACATAAATTATTGTTGGTAGGTATTGTGCTTTTTGTACAACATTTCTGAAGAGTACTTATAATATTATGGAGAAATAGTTTGTTAAATTTTAACATGAATATTTTTAAAATTATTTTTAGATATTCCTATGTCAAAAAAGGAATTTAAAAAAATTATGAATAATCACAGATTTTCTAATAAGGTAAATATTATTTTTTCCTATCTTTATATATAACTCATTAAAAAAAAAAGTTTAAGTTTTAACCTTATTTGAGACAAAAGTATTTCTATACTTGTAGTAATCACATTGTTTATTAAAAAATAATATCTAATTTAACCTTATTAGCAATAACTTGAACAAAATATTTGTTAACAAATTTAATTGAAATACATAAAACAATAAAAAAAATTGTAATTAATAATAAATACTCTATAAACCTAGTGAATAATATGAAGGGAAGTGGTAATAATTTGTAACACATTACTCCTCTAATAATGTAATACTCAAATTATGTATTAAAAAAAAAATGTAATGATTTTAGCAATTTTTCAAAATTTATAAAGCAGTACAAAAAGATGCTGCCGAGGAATATATACGATTTTTCTTAATTGAAAAAAGCATTAGATTGAATCATGAACTACCTGAACAGGAAAACGATTTTACAATTTACAAATTGCCGGGTTAGTTGAATAATAACAATTGGGTAAAATATATATTATCGCCTAAGAACCACCATGGCCTATCGAAAAAAAAATTGAAATTGTATTTTATAAGCCAATGTTTTTGTGTTATCAAGCCGCGTGAGACAGTGTTATTAGTCTAAATGTTTGACACCAAGAGGTTGCTGTGAACAATCAAATGTCGTTAGGGCCTTCATAGAACCGTATGTTATCGTAATATTTGTTTTGTCCCTCCTTAAAAGTTGGAAAAACTGAGATAGGCCATGTGATGGCTCTTAGGCGACGATACGTAAATAACTAATCATCACATTCATGTTTAACATATATTGTTATCGGTATGTAGTGTGTTTTTTTACAACATTTCTGAGGAGTACTAATTATAGTATTTTGCAGAAATCGTCTGTAAAGATAATGAGAAAGACCAAGTTATAAAAATATAAAACGCTTTTATCTTGTTTTCTTTGGGCTAATTAAAATTAATATTGAAATATTAACTTTACGACATTCCCATGAACTTTTTCGAAACACGATTTTATAATGTTTAAAAACTAAAAAAGCGAAAAAACATAATTATTGTTTTTGGATGGCTTTTAAATAATACCCGTTAAGCCCGTTATAAAAACGCAATAATAATAAATACTACCTGTAAATTCGTTCCAGCATAGTTACACTTTTATAATGGTTTCTAGGTATGCCTATGCTAAGAGAGGACTTAAAAAAATCACTAAAAATAATTACACTTGCAGAATCGGTAATAATACATTTTTTTTATCTAATAATATAATTATTTGTATTCAATTGTGTGGTGTAGGTACGTAGATAACATAACTTACAGTATAAAACAAAATAAAATCAAATATTAAACTAAAAGTTAGAGTTTGTAGTATTTGCAACCTCCTTTAACCTAATAGCTTGTGGTGGAGAGTTTGATAGAAATCGCATACATATAAAAAAATTATACAATAATTACAATATCACCTAAATTGATATGTTTCAAATACAATTTGAAATGTTTTATATCTTAAAAATCAAGTATATTAGTTTTAAGAATCCTACATAAAACTATTGCTACAGGAATAGAACTTTTTGCTTTAAAATGTTCTTTAAACTTAGGAATATTTATAATAATATTATCTTTGTATCTAGTACAGTACTCATGCGATATGTTTAATATTGTATTATGCCAGCATTTATATTGTATTTTATACAAAACGATTAAAATATTTTGGTAATATAAAGCCTTAATGTTATTTACTTATACTCATGATATACATAACTATTGCTAGTATACTTTAGTTTATTTAATAAATATTTAATAAGAGTATTTACAGTTATTTTTACCTAGATATTGTTACGGTACATTGCGGTGCCATCGTTACAGTATTTAAGTTTATTTAAACATTTTAGGGAAATACAATTTGTAGACGGTATATTATTACTGTTTGGTGAATTAACGAGCATTTTATAAATCAGATTAATTTTTCTTGAGTTTATGTTAAAATAAATATAATATTTCGATTCGTCTATTGATTGAATTGTAGTAGATTGTTATTAAACCAGGATTTCATTTCATTTATAATGATATTTGAATCTAAGAATAGTGAATCAATTATTTTATCCTTGATCAAAAAAGCAGCATAAAAAAATGTGTTTTGCATTTAAATCAAAATTCAACAGTCTGTTATAAAAAGAAAGGTCCTAAAACCGGACCTTGTGGCACACCACATTGTATCTCTAATGGCATACTTAAAGAACTAATAATTAGAACTATTTTTTCTATAATGTTATTGTACAATATGATCTCAATGTTTCAATTTTTTTTAAATATAGTTTTTTTGATAGCAACTTTTGTAACTTAAACGGTAACGCATACACTTTAGTAACTTTTTAAATTGAGATTAATGTACCAAAAGTTTTGACTGGTTGATAACTAGTTTTGAAAAACTATTTATGTTATGAGAGTTTAAAAGTTAGGATAGGAGGGAAAGTGCAGTTGGGAAGTGCTCGTAGATATAAATAATACGATACTAAAACTTTCCTCCTGCCCTAAACATAAAACTTCAATAACTTCAAAAATAGTCAACCAAAACTGGTTATCGACCAGTCAAAATGTTTAGTTCATTATTCTCAAATGCTTACAGTTTGTTAACATCTGTCATTTTAATATTTTTAACCATGCGCATAAAATCGTTTTTCACTCAAGTGATTTTAATTTTGAATAATTGTAATACTAGTGTTCACATTGGCCATTAAAAAAAAAATGATTTTAGCAATTGGACAATATTTGTGATGTGGTCCTAGACGAAGATGTTGGCAAGGAATCAGTAAAATATTTTTTAATTGGGAAAATCGTGAGAGTAGAACATGAACTACCTGAACAGGAAATCCAGTTTATAACTGCAAAAATTCCGAGTACGTTATATAATTAAAATTATTAGATATTGTAAAATGTACCTATATGTTAAATGTGACTATTATTACTTTGTCTATTTACAAAAAAATATTATCGATAGGTAGAGCGTAGTTTCTAACATTTCTGAGGAGTGCTTATAATATTGTGCAGAAATAGCCAGTAATGATAGTTAGGAAAAACACGTTATAAACATATATGCAATGCTTTTATCTTAATTTTCTACAAATTATGTTACAAAACGTTCGCCGTAAAATGTTTTCTAAACACGATTTTAGACTACTTAAGAAATAAACAAGAGGTCAATTAAAATTATGGTTTTAGATGGCTTCTAATAATATCCGTTATGGTCAAATTTTGTACACAAAAACACAATAATAATAAATGCAACCGGTTAATTCGTTACAGCATAATTTAGTTTGGTAAATTTTAATATAAACTCTTTTATAATGATTTCTAGATACTACTACGCCAGAAAAAAAATTTAAAAAATCACTAAAAATGTTAACATTGACTGACGAGGTAATTATGTAATTTTTTAATATCCCAATATATGGCAAAAAATTATATAATAATTCAATACTCTATAAACCTAGTAAATCATTTTCTAGTAATAATTCGATACTAGTGAATATACTAGTGATAATAATTCGAGATACATTATTTTAAAAATAGTAGTATTCATAATGTGTATTAACAATAAAAATGTAATGATTTTAGCAATTTGAAGTACTTTATGATCTAGTAGAAGACGATGAAAATGGATTTGTTACCAGGCGTACAGTAGAACGCTACTTAAGGAAGAAAAACAGTGGATTGAAGCATAAGCTATCTACATCGGATATCATATATATTTTTAGAAAATTAAATCGTATGTTGAATAATAATAATTTAGTAAAACACATTTTGCATAAATTATAATATTATGCAGAAATCGTCAGTAAACAGATGATAAAAAAGTTTTTCAGCCGAGTCTGCGACCTCGAAAGAGCATTTTCATGTCTCGTTGAAGTACCGAATAAATATAGATTAGTTGTGGAATTATAATAAAAAAAAAAAAATACATGGAGTTTCCAGTTACAGCATAAGCCAAGGAGATTAAAAAATTATGTACAATTATGTTTCTGGCTAAAATTGTAGTGTTTATTATCTGGCCAAAAGTAACTTAACATAGTTTAATATATAGAGAATTAAACCGTTTTGAATTTATTATTTAGTTCTAATTTGAACGTTGAACGTACAACATATCTCTTATCTCTCATCTTCTATATCTTACCCCTATCCCCCACCCACTATCTCCCGTTCCTATCACTCACCCCTATCCCCTATCCCTATCTTATATCTCATATCAGATAACAGCGTAACACTTTTTTCGTTATGCTTTTGTAACGAACGCTTTTTTCGGTTATGTGTCAGAGCTAAGACATGAAAATGTCAATAGATAATTAGGAAGAATATGTTATACAAATATAATCCGCTTTTATCTTGTTTTCTTTAGACGAATTGTAATTAATATTTAAATATTCATTTGACGACTTTCCCATAAATTTTTTTTTAGACAAGATTATAGATTATTTAAAATTTAAACAAGTGTACAAACAAAACTAATGGTATTATTTGGCTTTTAATAATACCTGTTATGACTAAATATCGTAGTTCGTACATAAAAACAATAAAAGCAATAATGATAAATGTAACCTGTTAATTCGTTACATAATAATTATATAGTTTGGTAAATTTTAACATGAATATTTTTTAAATGAATTCTAGAATCTTGTTATTCAAAAGACAGATATATAAACTTAATGGATAGACCACATTTAACTTATTCGGTAAATATGAATTTTTTCTATTTAAATATATAACTCATTAAAATATTAATAAATTTTGTTTAATAAACCTAATTTGATACAAAAGTATTTCTATAATAGTAGCAGAAACATTGTGTATTAAAAAAAAAAAAAAAATGTAATGATTTTAGTATTTAGAAGAAACGTTTTATATGACACCAAAAAGCGATGTACATGAAATGTTGTCGGGTACGTGTATTGTAAAATTATCTTTAGCATTATAGTTTCTAAGAGCCGTCAATTCAGTTAACACATTTTTAAATTTATTAAGAGCACTATCACAATTTTTATCCCAAGTCCACACAATATGTTTTCTCAGTAGACCTCTTAATGATTCAACTAATTCAGATATATTAGGTATAAAAATTCTTAGATAGTTAACCATTCCTGAAAGACGATTGGAGTTGCTTAACATGTTGTGGTATTTTTAATTAAACAATATATTTAACTCTTTCTTAATCAGGTTCTATTCCTTTCACACTAAATATCATACCTAAAAATCTCACTTCCATTTTTTGATATTGCAATTTTTTAAGATTAAAATTAATATTTAACTTCCTCGCCTGTTCTACTACCGGTTTTAATGTCTCATCATGTTCCTGTTGTGTTTCCCCACTCTCAAGTATGTCATCAAAATATACACAAACATTACTAATACAACCAAAATATTTTTATGTTAATTGTTGGAACACTTCCGGGGCATTAGCTAGGCCAAAAGGTAATCTTTTGAACTGATATGAGGCAAACGGTGTGCTAAAAGCACAATATTTTTTAGACTCACTCTCTAGCTCACTCTGATAAAATCCGTCTTTGAGATCACATAGTGTAAAATACTTCTTGTTTTCTCATAAAAAACTTATAATGCTCCATTACTTCGTTTCGTTTTGGTGTACAGTATTCTTTTAATTTATTGAAAATGATTTCAACCGTTTCACTCTTTGGCTTCACGTTAAATGTTCTGTATATTTTAACGCCCTCGCTGCCAATTAAGTACAACAAGCGTGCCACTTGCACTTTTTGAGGCTTTTGCGTTGTCTCTGTGGCTTCGAAGAATACCAGGACTTCTTCCTTGAATAATTTGTAATTTTCAGCCACATTGCCAGTTAATTTCAAACATTCTGGTTTATTAATTTCCATAATTAACACTTTATTTCACACGTGCACTTTTTTTTTTATCTTATTTCATCGTGTAAAAATTAATTAGTTTGCGACTGCGCCATGTTTTAATATATTGTTAGTACATAGAACAATATGTATTATGTCTAAACGACTTCACTATTATTTAATTTAAGATTTTAATTAAAGAAATTACACACAAGTCATGTCATAATTTTATATTAAACAAAAACACAAGACAGTGCCTTTTTTGTGATAATGATAATAGTACTGATAAAATTGACAACACTGTTAATTCGTTACAGCATAACTTAGTTTTTAATTTAAACACTATTATAATGATTTCTAGGTATTCCTATGACAATAAGAGAATTTAAAAAAGCACTAAAACTTCAAGAGTTTACTGATGCGGTAATTATGAATTTTTTTTAATATCTAAATAGATCTATTGAACAATATACTAGTAATAATTTGAGACACTTATTTCTGTTATAATAGTGATCACATTGTGTATTAAAAAAAATGTAATGATTTTAGCAATTGGACCGCATTTATTATGGTACCACGGGTGATGACGGAGTTAATAAGGCTGAATTAAAAGCTCTCCGTAGTGAATACTGTAATGTATTATCTGGATGTGATAAAGTGGACAGATATCTCATAAAGTGCTACTTGACCGACAACTTACTCAAATATGGATTAACCGAAAACACTTTGTATAGTTTCTATGAAAAATTGCCGCCAAGTACGAAAAATAATAACAATTCAGTAAAAGATATTGTAACATATATATGTGAAATGTAAAGAACTAATAATCACATCGATGTTTTGTGTAAATTATTATCGATAGGTAGTTTGTTTTTTTTTTTTGCAACTTATAACGCGATGATAATAATTGTAATCAATCAACTCGTTAGAAAGTAATATAGTTTGGTAAATTTTAATGTGAATACTTTTATAATTATTTCTAGGTAAATATGTTATGTCAAAAAAGGATTTTAAAAAAAAAGCGAAAGATATACAGTGGGACGTAGATATGTATTTGTGTAGATTTGCCAATGTCAATTTGCCGCTTCTAGGCAAGTAATTTTTTGTGTCTTTATAACATATTGTTTTAGGTTATAGCTTTTACACGCTTTTCATTAACTTGCTAACACATACGTGCATTTGTACGAGTATTTTTCAAATCTTGCAAAATTAATTTAACCCACTTGCCGATGCCGTAGAGGCCTGAAACTTGGCACAAACAGCCATCTCTGATGACAATACAATATCCTGTAATAATATTGGGGCCATTTCACTAAAATTTCATGTGTTTTCAAATCTTCCAAAATTAATTTTGGATTTAGTAATCTACCCACAACTATTAAGTACTTTTAATAGGACTAAAAAGTAAAAATAAAATTAAAAAAAAACTTTTTTAAAAACATGCTTTTCTAAAAAAGTATTAAAACAAGTGTACTAAAAGATAAAAAAATAATTGTAGTACAAAAACCATTTACCAATCAACTGTAGCACATTTTATTTAAAATATCAATTACTTTGAAAACAACCGAAAATGAACTAAAATTTTAAATAATGTTAAACATCTTTAATTTTTGGTTAAAAAGAAAAGCGATTACGTTTTTACCCCTTCTAGTGGGAAGGTCTTTTGATATTTTATTAGCTTGCAATTTTTAATCGATAGCACGTCATTATCTAAAGAATATACCAAACAAATTCAGAACCAACGTTAAAAAAATCATAGCATGTTGAACAAAAAAATAAATTATTGTAAATACATTATTTCTTTTCGACTCAAGCATTTTGTGGTACAGCTGGCGTGTCTTGAATAAAAACTAATTTGGGCGCATTAAATACAAATCAAATTTCAAAGAGCATTGGTTAAATTGAGTTTTGAAATTCCGAGAGGCAGAAGCCTCTTATAGGTCTAAAGTTGTAGTACATAAGCAGAGAAATATTTAGCCCGTGTATTGTTCAAATAATAACATGTTCTCATATAAAACTAAAAAATATGAAGGTTACCTACATATGAACTTATTTGTTTTAATCGACGTTTATTGTAGTTATAAAAAACAACGTAATTTTTAGATTCGTATTTTATTCAATTCCTAGCTATTATCAAACAAAACGTCTTTTCAGCCAAAACTCAAAATTAAAGTACTTTTAAATAATAGTTTACCTGGTTGTTGTTTATTTATGGCACTGGTGTCCATTGCTAAAGTATTATTTCATGAATAATAAAAACTATGCGATTATGAACGGTTTTTTATACAATTTTAGAAAAACTAAATCTTTAAACAAACAAATCACTATATAACTGCTTACTTATATAGTTTAATAGTTTCATATTTTGTTAAGAGGGCGTCGCACCGGTGATTTTCAGTGGAAATAACATGTTTAAGCAGACTGAATATAACTCGCTTAATTTTGGTTTTAGAGTAAAAGCGTCCATTATAAAATTAAAAGAAAATAATATTCCGGAGGGCAAGACGGTGCGTTTTATTAAAAAAAATAATTTTTTGAAAAGTAACAGTCATTTAAAAATGTTAAAATAGGTCGTTATTTCTAATCTATGTATTATGCGTTATACTTGGAATAATGAAAAAACGCACCGTCTTGCTCTCCGGAATATTGTTCTCTTTTAATTTTATAATGGGTGCTTTTACTCTAAAATCAAAATTAAGCAAGTTATTTTCAGTCTGCTTAAACATGTAGAGATGAAAAAACATTTTTAAATCACTTTCAAGGATGCTGTGATAGTCCAAATAATAAATTAACTACCAAAATAGAGTCCTAGTTATTGAACTAATAATTACACGTCACAGTTTAATCTTTAAATTAAGATTTTGTAAAAGATTGCCTATACTTTACTCCTTAAAAATGGGCGGTGCGACGCCCTCTTAATATTCTTTATCAATATGTACAATAATAATTTTAAATATTAAATAATAAACATTTATTAAAAATATATTTTAGGCTTAAATACTTGAACTTAAACGTAAGAAATAAAATCACTTTATTTCTAAATTTAGAAAGATAAAAAAGGATTATGATTCCACCCATTCCGGTGGGAAAAGGCTTATGATATTTTATTAGTTAGTAAATGTTTATCGATAGTAAATTATCCAAATATTAAACCATACAAATTTATCTTTATTAGTCCGTAGAAATATTTGTTTGCCGACAGGATACTTGCTGCTACTTACAGTTTCATTTTTTTCGGTCAATACTGAACCTAGGCTTTTAAATTGTTTTACTCGATTGAATTCGTGGTTACCCACTCTTAAGGAAGGATAAATTCCCCAACACCGTGTATTCTGTTTGGACTTCATTTATGTGCAAACCAACTTCCTTCGCTGCTCCTCCAATCGGTCCAATAGTGTTCATAGGCCATCGTGTGATTTATCCACGAAGACCAAATCGTCTGCATATGCCAACAATGCCACGGAAGACTCTTGTATTGACACACTATCTTGAGGTCCGATATGAGTTTCCCTCATAACTTTTTCTAATACTAGGTTAAATAGAACAGGTGACATAGAGTCCCCCCGTCTTAGGTCTGATTTCACTGTTTTTGGGTTTCAGCTTCTACCACTTTTAATTTAACGAATGTTTCCATAATGCTTGTCTCGACTAGCTTTACTAATTTTTATGGGAAGTTTTACTTTCTAAGAATATTTATCAAGCTTTTGCGATGGATACTATCGTATACCTTTTCGAAGTCGATAATAAGCACATGAACTTCCTCCCATGTCTTTTGGAATAGTTGTCTGAGAATACATATTTGGTCCACCGTAGATCTTCCTGGTCTAAAGCCTCCTTGATAATCGTCAATAATTTGCTCTAAATTTGTTTTTATCCTTGACACAATACAGTTCGCGAAAACTGTATACATATAGAAGGGCAATCCCGCGATAGTTATTGCACTCCTATCTGTCCCCCTTCTTATGAACTGGACACATTAATGCTATTTTCCAATCTCTCGGTAACTTTTAGGTTGTCCATATTCGGTTAATCAGTTTCCAGAGCCTAAACGTCATTTATTCTCCCCCTATTTTTAAGAGTTCCGCATGGATTTGATCCTCGCCAGGTGATTTATGATTTTTTAAAGTATATATTTGGAATCTTATCTCCTCCAGCGATAATTCTAAGCTTTCTTGTTCTTCTCTAGTTTCTAAGTTAATGCTAAAAACTTCGTCTGGTTCTTCGCAGTTAAGCAGATTGTCAAAATAATCTCCCCACTTTTTGGCTAATTCTTAATTTTTGGTTATCCATCGTTATCCTTTAGGAACCTTCCCCTCTTCTTGTACCCATCCGTAAGATCATTTATACGTACATATAGCATTATCTATTATATTTCGGACATAATTCCGCTTTTCACTTCTTAAGATATTATTTGTTTCCCTTGGACGAGTTTTGTACCTTGCACATAAATCTTCGTTACTTTTATCGTTTAACCCCTTCTGTCTTGCCAACTTTCTTTTCTGCAACGCTTCCATGCAAATTCTGTTGGACCAAGGCTTACATTTTTTATATTTTGGTTCTTAAGTCTTGTTAGCTGCGTTGCTTATAACTTCTCTCAATTTTTCCCAATTCTCATCAACATTTCCATCGACCATTATTTGTTTACTTTATAGAGCGTCCTTGATACTATTTTCAAATTCTTTGCCTATATCTTGTTTTTCCAACTTGTCTATGTCAAGCCTCCTTAAAGTTTACTGGGTTGTGTTTACTAAGTTATTTGAGTTTCACCCTTATCTATATATATAGTAGTAAGTGATCAGAACCTATGTCTGCTCCGTGCAATGTTCTTACATGTTTTTATTTAATCTAGAGTTTACTAGTACAGGATATATTTAACTGTGTAAATTATTGACTCGTGTATAGCAAACCGGTCCCTAATTTGTAAGGATGTTCACATTTCTCATTAAAAATGGTAGTTTGGAATACTTAAGTTGTCCCACCTTATTTATTGTAAGGCCACACACGTCATCTTATATTTTTCTACTGCTATTAGCAAATACAAAGTTTCTCCTGGTTTGTACAAAGACTTTTTGTTCCATGTACGACAAAATAATTCCGATTTTCAGTTTCCTTTTTTTCCCCCGTAAAATCTATCCTGAGGCTAATTGTTTGAATCCTGAACATGACTTGTTTTATATGATTGGGTTATTAGCCCAACGCATAACCCACAACCTGGAGGACCAGACTACCCCAACCGACTAAGATCAGGGTAGGACTACTGCAATGCATCTAAGTGCATTGGGCAACTGTGGGTTCCACTTTCCCTACGCCAATTATTGGGGTTCGCGGGCTTGTCACACACGTTACCAATTAAGGTACCCCATTCGCGAAAGTTATTTTAGCACAGTCAATAGTATCCTGAACACTGTTTTCGATATTTTTCGTATGTATTATGATTTCAGTAGCATCAGTACTTTTAGCACACTCAATAGTATCTTGAATATTATTTTTGACGATTTCAGTATGTATTATGGGTTAGGTCCTTGAGCTTTATTTCAAGATCAATTTTTTCCAATGATATTTTTTTGTCGTTGTCCAAAAGTATAGATATCTACACTTTTAAAATTTTATAGAATTTCCTTAGGTTGGTTAGGTTAGAATAGGTAATCAATTTCGCTTTGTAGATTATCAAGCGATCTCACCCAAATTTAATGACTTCAATTTACGGTTGATGAACGGCTAAAATATTACGCCCCGTATATTAAAATAACAGAGTGGAGATTTTAACGTCAACTTCAGTACAGAAGGAGAGAGTCTTATTAACTTTCTGAAATATACTTTTAACCTTTAAATAAACTCAGATAGATGAGTGAGTACTACACAATCAAGCACAGTATAGATGCAGTATTCCAGCGGAGCTTAGACAACATACAGTCTCGTGTTTATGTATCTTATTATAGTTATCATAAACCAATAATATCAACAATACAAAAAATAATAATTGTTTCTCTATAAAGTTCTCGCACATGATAAGTTCAACTCTTTTTTAAAATTGTATTTTATGTAGAACCCGAAATAAGATGTTTACATAAAACTATTGTGAGTATTTTCGCGGCTCACTCGGTTTTTTTTTGCTCTCTGTGAAGTTTTTGGGGTGTAGTATTTTTTGTTCCAACTCGGAACGTCCTACGTGCATTACAAAACTCTCTGGAGCTAATGAAAGATTCGTCCTATTTACAGTTTTCTAGGGTGAACTAAGAAAAAAAGTCCTATCTGACCGTTCCAAGCAAAAAGAAGATAGAATATTTATAATAAGCACGGCAGTTTAGGTATTAATGTTATTTTTTTTTTCATTTTCAAATTTGCATTTTAATAGTTAGGAAAAAAATTACCAACATTTTCTATTTAAGCAAGGTTTAGCTAATTAAAGCGTTGAAAGTATCAATATTTTGTGGTAATAAATAATTAAGTCGTAAAAGGATTTTAATCAGAATCCTTGTATAAGGTTAAAACAAATAATATAAAAACTAATAATTTCTTTTTTTATTATGTTTAGTTTCTGGTAAAGAAAATAAATTGAAGGATGAAAACCACAATAAGAGTAAGTGATGTATTTTAACTCAAGATATATAATTTTTTAATTTATGGATTTATATTTCAAATCTATAAATCACTATTGTCCCCGAACCACAAAACTTTTGAAAAAAATCTCCACTTTAGTCAACAAAAGATATTTTGGTCGTAGAAAAGATACTTTAATCCGAATTAATTTATAAGGTTAAAACAAAGAATATAAAAACTAATAATTTCTTTTTTTATTATGTTTAGTTTCTGGTAAAGAAAATAAATTGAAGGATGAAAACCACAATAAGAGTAAGTGATGTATTTTAACTCAAGATATATAATTTTTTAATTTATGGATTTATATTTCAAATCTATAAATCAATATTGTCCCCGAACCACAAAACTTTTGAAAAAAATCTCCACTTTAGTCAACAAAAGATATTTTGGTCGTAGAAAAGATACTATAATCCGAATTAATTTATAAGGTTAAAACAAAGAATATAAAAACTAATAATTTCTTTTTTTATTATGTTTAGTTTCTGGTAAAGAAAATAAATTGAAGGATGAAAACCACAATAAGAGTAAGTGATATATCTTAACTCAAGATATATAAATTTTTAATTCATGGTTTTATATTTCAAATCTATAAATCACTATTGTCCCCTAACCACAAAACTTTTGAAAAAAATCTCCACTTAAGTCAACAAAAGATATTTTAGTCGGATTTATAATACAAAAACTAAAAATTTATTTTTTTTATTATGTTTAGAAAGCGAGAATGAAAAGGATGTTATGTCAAAATAGTAATTCAAGAGAAGGTTTCAGAGATTTTTTGTTAAGAAAATCAAATTAATGTAATATTTCTAGAGTCTATATTTTTATTAAAAGTTGTTCTATTGTTGCGATTATAAATTCAAGTTGAGTTTTCTCTTGTGATAATTTTATTTTCAAATGGAATTTTTCATTATTACTGGAATTACACAATTTTCCTAAAATAAATTATAATAATAAATGTAATACTTAAATCACAATAATTGTTAACATTACAAAATCATAATAAACTGTTAAAAAATCAAGCTGTATTATTATGAGTTTTTCTATTCCTGTAGAGTTATTTACACTGTTATACTATAGTATGAAAGTAAAACACAATTAGATTAATATAGTTAATAATATTCGTTGACGTTTGTTATGAAACCCAAAATACACAAACGACAATAGTTGTGCCGGTGTAGCACTCGCGTATGGTGGACAATCCCCACCATATATATTTTTATAAACTGCTGTTACGTAACATGTAATATATTGTATAAATTAATCAAATGGATTTTTCACAAATTTATTCCTGTTCCACAATTATAATATACTATAGGTATTTAATATTTGATTGTTGATAAACTGAAAAAAGTGAGAAATGGACGAATTGCAGTTTAAACATTACCTAATAACGTACACATAATAATGTTACCATGTTACCTGACAATATTACATGTTGTATAATATGGTATTTTAAATATTACTTCTCATTTAGATAAAGATAAGGAATGTGCATTTACAACTTCATATCATCCTGATATAATTGTACCATGAGAGAGTAGCTAGAGTTTTGCTTAAATAATGAAAAAGTACATATTTGTGAAGCACATTTTAAGTCCAAATCTGAAGTTTAACCTTATGTAGTTTGCGCATGCGCACTATCAATTTTTGAAATTCAAATGGGAACCCCTATATTTTTCGAAATATTCTGTTAGCATTTAATATTTTGAAGACAAAACTGTTAAAAACAGTTATTCTTACTCAACTGTTCAAATTAGTGAACTATTAATAAGCGTTTATTGCTATATTAGAGACAAATAATTTGGTTTTGTTTTGAAAAAAGGATAATATATTACCTGAACTATTATTTTAAAGAAAAAAATATACTATAAAATTGAATCAATTGCCTAAATTTTCACTTCGAAATTTGTTAGAAAAAGAACTAATTTTTTCTTTTTTGGAGACTCTATAAATTATAACGAAGCATCATATAGCTAGTGTATATCATAACGCGTATACGGAAGATATTATACGGTTCCAAACCTTACGAAACTGGTTATCGACCAGTCAACATTTTTAGTACATTATTCTCAATTTAAAAAGTTATAAAATATATATGTTACCATTTAAGTTTGAAATGTTCTTATCAAAAAAACTAAGTTGGGAGGGGGTAAAAACAAAAATAACTGTGAAAAATTACATTGTATAACAACAATATGAAAAAAAAATATTTTAATTTCTTATTAAATCCTATGAGATATTGAGTGGTTCATGATAAAAATATCACCCTGTATATACGAATTTATCAGCTTCAAAAAAAAGCAACAGATATTATATTACTAGGACACATTTTATGAAAGCGATATCAAACTATCTACTTTAATATAATATACGAGTATAAAATATAAAATATACTAAACATATATTTTATACCATGTTTATTGTATAATAATATTGTTCCAGGAACGAGTTTTTAATACCGTCCCAAATGGCATAACTTAACATCAACATGTTCTTATCATCAACTTATTTTTACAAGGTCAAACTCAGTTAAGCTATCAGAATTGTTTATAGTGATAAAAAATAATATACATTTTATGATGTTACACTTATTTTAAAATAACTGGAATTGAAATTCGTTATTAAGTTGTAGTACATAAGCAGAAAAATGTTTTGCACGTGTATTGTTCAAATAATAACCTGTTTTAATATTAAACTAAACAAATATGCAGGTTAACTAAACACGAATTTATTGGTTTGAAACGATACCAACTGATCTTATTTAATACACTATACGAATACTATTTTTTGTAGTTAAAATAATTAACGTAATTTTTAGCAAAGGACTCTTATAAATCTAAATGTGTAAAAAATAAGTAGAGAGATAACGTGCATATGTATTGTTCAAATAATAAAAAACATGTTTTGTACTGAACACAAAAAAATAATACTAACGTTTGTCGTATACAATTATATCGGTTTGAAAACAAAACAAGAATTATAATTTTGCCTGCGAATTTTATAAAAGTCATACCATATTATCTGAATTGAATATACGAATGCCTAAAAAAAGAACTCTTAATATATAAAGGGTTATACCCGTAATGGTAAAGAACCGGGTACCTGAAACGCTACATACAGAATGATTTTTTTATCATGAGCCACTCAATATCAAATTGGTTCAATGTATCCATAACATATTAAACTGAAAAATTTCGTTAATACAGTTTTTTTTAATATCCGGAAAACTGTGTTTTTTGCAGGTTTCGTATATTTTAACAAAAACACCTAAAATCTTAAATTTTCTTTATCAAATCATTACAACAATTGTATGTAGATCAATGCAGAATGATGCTATTAAGTTTTGATACTCAAGTACAATTTTTGGGTTTTAATTTGATAATTGTTTGAAAGTGATTCTATTCGAGATGACTCGTACAGTAGATTATAGGTATTATGGAATCAAAGCAACGAGGGGACGGAGAGGTCACAGGTCTACAGGAATTATTATAAATAAAAGTGAAAAATTGAATAAAATCACTTTCAAATTAACGCTTTGAAGCTTATTTGTAAATTCAGCACCTCAATTTAATTCTTTCTTACTCTGCTGGATTATACTATGCTTGGTTTTGACTGTACTGGCTTGAAAATACTAATTACTGATTTGCATCGAAGCGTTTATTCGAAAGTGATTTTATCACTTTAAGATTTAAAAATTCCTGTAAACTTGTGACCTACCGTCCCTTCTATGCCCCGTTCCCCACCATGCTCCATCCCCGCTATGCCCCGACCCCACTGTACTGGTTTTTCATATTGTTTTTATACAATGGGATCTCAATTTTTCAATTTTTTTTTTGTTTTTACCCCCTCCCAACTTAGATTTTTTGATAGCAACTTTTGAAACTTAAATAGTAACGTATATATTTTGATATTTTTTTAAGTTGAGAACTATGTACTAAAAAATTTTGGCTGGTCGATAACCAGTTTCGGGTAACTGTTTTTGAAGTTGTTGAAGTTTCTAGATTAGAGCAGGAGGAAAGGTGGAGTGTAGTATTTTTTATCTGCGCGCAATTCCCCTCCCATCCTAACTTTAAAACTCGTATAACTTAAAAACAGTTATCCGAAACTGGATGTCGACCAGTCAAAACTTTTGTACATTATTCTCAATTTAAAAAGTTAATAAAATATATGCGTTATCGTTTAAGTTTCAAATGTTGCTATCAAAAAACTAAGTTGGGAGGGGGGTAAAAACAAAAAAATTCTGTGAAAAATTGAGATCACATTGTATAACAACAATATGAAAAAAAATGTAATTTCTTATTTAACCCTATGAGATATTAAGTGGTGCATGACAAAAAATAACTCTGTATATAGTGAAATATAGTATAACCATATTTTTTATAAACCCTTGTTAAGGAAAAGAATTCTGTCGACGTCTCTGAGAAAAATGACAAAAACAGTTTATACATAATATATATCCATCATCCCGTTTTCTAATAATAAAAGTAAAGAGTGGGATCCGGATAGGACTCCCTTATAGTGTCTTTGTGGTCACCCAAGCTTGAATATTGCGAACCGACCACTGAGAGACGCAAGACGGGAAAATAGGGGTTTATCATCAGAACCCAGAAGTATACCTACCTACTCGTCGGTCGCGTAATATTATATTGTATATGTATATACAGTGTAATAAGAATAAAAAAAAATACATATGAAAGGTATGATTTTTTCGGGTTGCCCGGTATCTAGAGATATGATATAGGAACAAGAACCGAGCGTTTCCTATACGCGTTTTGTATAGCCTGCAGTATTTTTTTAAAATATTTTTATTAATAGTTCATTAGATTGTATGCACACAATAATACTTGTACCCGACTATAAAATATTACACGCAAACAATGTAAAATAGAACAAAACTTATATATGCTGAGTTGACAAATCAGAGAGACAGAAAGTGACGTACACAAGTGTTACCCTAGCTCACCCACAAACACTGCACGAAAGCGTCCAGTTCTTGTTTTTAATACCGATTGTAACAAGAACATCGCAAGACCAATCAAAATTAAAACTACACATTTTTTTTGTAAAATTTAACACTGTTAAATTTGTTCGATTTTAAAGATTTTTCATTAGCTTACATTGCTTCAGTAAATAGAATTGACAACAAGTTGATCACGTTTAAGTGATTTTGTATTATTTGGCTGGCTACACTATGGTCTTGATTAGAATAAACCAGTTTTAGAACCTTATTTGTTGTTTGTGTTGTTGATAAAAGCTCTGATATTAGATGCTATATATTAATCTGTGTGTAAGTTTAAATGTTACAGCAATAATCGTATATGTATCATTTAACCCGATATGGATTATTAGCTGATAATCATTTAATCACTTGAGCCCTTTTTTAATTATTTGGAAATTTTTATTTAATATAATTTTAAAAAAATGATGTAATTTCAAATTTAAATATTATTAGTCCCCTGACTTTAAGAACTAAACGTAATTACAAATAATTTGTTATGTTTCAAAATTATTATTTTAGTGTGTTCAATGATTTGTATTTTAATCGACAGTTTTATAATAACAAAACTGAATATTTTTTAATTATTTTCATAAATTATTTCAAGGTACAATTATATTTTATAGTTTTGTCTATCTGCTAAATTATCTCAACAATTTCGTATACATATCAATGTTTAGTACTACAATACACGACGATTTCACAAATCGGGCTTTAAGTTTTGAAATTCTTGTATTATTGTTTACATTTTATAGTATAACCGTATCGAAAACGTACTTTTTTTTTTATAATACATAAGGTGTTTAAAAAATTGATTATGAACTTGTTATTGTAATAAGGCCACAGCAGATGTTCTTTAAATATTTATTTTCAGACTTAAGCATGACGTACTACTAACAAATACTTAAAACACGTGTAAACAAATTTATGTAATCAACATTTTTTTTTATAAAAAATTACCAATAATTGTCAACAATGTTTTCGCGATTTTCAGCATTCCTCAG